TTTTAATTTAACTCAAGGGAAAATACTAAATGTTTACATTCCTATGCACTACTTGGAAAATAAGCTCTGTCTATGAAAACACCAAGGAGCAGGTCTCTACTTTATTAAAAATCTACATTTTACCCTTGAAAATAAATGTTCATTACCTTAAGAGAAACAAGCAAAATGAATCATGAGTCAACAAAAATCCCTCTCTTTCTGTGCCTTTTAAAATGTATACAATGTTTGGTAACAGAGTGGATTAGTGGACACATTAATTTAGGTCAATAGCTACTGCTTACATAGGCATGATTGAATTGCAACAACATCTCCATTTCCCTTCATATTATAGAAATAATTTAAAAACCTTGATGCAGGTTTATCCTTATTGCTGACTGTTTTTCACTCTTTATGCAACTGTTACCTCAGTTCAAAAAATTAAAAGCAGAGCATTTCAGTATAAAGAAACTGATTACAAAGAGAACAAAATGAATATATTGTCCTTTTTTATAAGCTGGTGCCAATTTTATGTGACCCAGTATTCCTCCCCATCTACTAAAATTATTTGGGCATGTGGAAAGTACTTCTAGAAATATACTTATTTATTTACTTTTTATATCATCACACTTCCAACAGACTCTTGGTGATATACAGCATAAACCATTTAATGAAATGCAAAATAAATTTTACAGCATGTACCTTAAAATACCAAAATGACACTATCATGGGCATCTCCCAAAAAGATCTAACTGTTAAAAGCTCTTCTGAACAGCATTTCTGACCACCCTGCCACATATCAGAAGGAAGGGATCTCTGGGGGCAGACTACTGCAGACAGCAGGGACCACTACAGAAAACAACCAGCTTCTGCCCCCACTTCCACCAAATCTCTCGCCGAGAAGAAATCTTCAGCTTCCCCACGCCTGGGACATGTAAACTGAACAATTATGTTGTGTTTCAAGATGGTCCTTAAGGTACTTGGATGCCAACCCATCTAGGTCTTCACAGGTCAAAAATGGTACTTTGAATTGTACCTAGAAGCTTACTGATAACCAATGCAGAACCTGTAACACTGGTGTTATATGTGAGAAGCAGTTCTTACCCACCAATAAGAGAACTGCTACATTTTGTACCAACTGCAGCTTTCTAGTGCAGCATATTGAAATAATACATGTAGCAGGTGACAAGGCCATGAATCACTGTTACCTGAAAAGGCTGTAACTGACATGTCAGGCATAGCTGAATAAAAGTCCCTCTAGCCATGGCTTCACCTATATATCTAATAACAGCTGAGGGTATAGATCAACAACCCCTTTATTTTGTGGGTCTGCTCCTTCAGAGGGAATGCTCCCCATCCACAGTTATTAGTGGAGCAGACAGAGAGTTGGGTGATTGGATGGTTTTTGCATAAACAGCAACTCAGCCTTGCTTGGATTCAGCTTCTCCTAGTTTCTTCTCATTCAGACTCTGACAGCCCTCATATGATGGGTCAAAACTTCCACTGCATCATTGGCCTGGCCCAAAGTGGAGATGTATATCTAAGTAAATGCTAAAAAGGGAAAGAAAGAAGAGCCCTACAGCTACCCACATTTGGAGCAATCTCCAAACCAACCTCTCTCTTCCCACACTGCCTAGTAAACCTCCCATTTAGGAAGGAACAGAACCACTACAAAAGCACCACTACTAACCTTCATAGATAGTCCAGAAAGATAGCATGGTTAATGGTATCAAATATCAATGAGAGGTCCAAAAGGTTCAGCAATGACAGTCAGTTCAGAAGGACTGACTCCACCTCGGATTGGATTGAAGCAAGACCTGCTCCCTTTTTCTACTCCAACACTACTTTCAGTGTTTCTAAGCAGCGCTATTAATTTAGAGTTCTAATTTACAGACGACTTTTAGCAAAAATACTTATATGCAACTGAAAAAAGGCTTTGATTAATAATTTCAAAAATTCTGTGATGGAGTTTATTTCCTTGCAAGCATCCAACATTTTCTTCTCTTATAAAATGAAACCTTATACGTTCTTAAATACAAGCTTGTTAAAGTAAATTAAAACCATCTACCAGCCCCAAACTGAATATAGTATAAAACAAATTAAAAACATGCATTCTTTCAGTAAAACTTTTCTTCTTAGAGCAGTTAATCATGTCAAATTTATCCAGCATCAGAAAAAATATTGCCACTTCAGTTCTTTCACTTTTCCAGCATAGTTTCACAAATAGCACTGCCTTGCTAGTTCTTCAGCTTCTGTCAGTCTAATTTTATGCCTGGTTAGAAAAAGCAGATGAATGCATGGTTCATGGTGATAAGATTGGAAAAAGTATCCATATATTTTTTTGCTGCAATGTGTGAATTTCATATTGAAATTATTCAGTTTGCATTACTGTATGGTTAATAATACAAAGTTAATTAATCTAGGAATGGGACTACTACTGCTTACTTGTTCCTGAGTTTTGCTGTTTGCTACACTGCATCATTCAACAAGCAGAGACCAAGATATAGGTTTATTCCAGTTTAGAAACTCTTGATAAATGGCTAAAGACTAGATATAATCAACACATGGTAAGGCATGGACAATACAATGTGACAGCCAGACCTGAAAGTCAAGGACTGTTTATGTAACCTATCTTGACCAATGTTGAGATGAGCAAGTTGTATGGCTATGGAAGATCCTATCAAAGGACTGGAATTTTGAGCAATGGACCTGCAGCCCAGACCAAAAAAGAAAAGCCACTTTGGCTTTTTTTGATATGAGCCAGAGGATCTCCACCATTTGAGGTTTTGCCAACACATGTGTGGGCCTCTCAAGCTTCCACACCATCCTGCTCCAATCTTCATTTTCATATTTTGTCAGATCATTGATTCTGATGGCCATTCTATTGTGTCCTGCACCTTGGTAACTTTAATTTGAATTTTACTGAGTAACAGAACAAGAATTCTTAAGAACTCATAATTTAGTTTCTTTCAGTTATTTTCATTTATTCCTGAGTGAACTTGCATCCAAGTTAGTCTAAGTAACATTTTAAACTGAATTTGCTTCTCTCTGGTTTGTTGATACCATTACTTACTTACTCATCACCTTTCCAGTCAACTGAACTTGATAAAGTTGTTCAGCACTCTAAACCCAAGAGTGATGGTAAGATCTGTGTATCTTGTTTAAACTTTGGTTCAACTGGCTCCTTATCTTACATCCATAAGCTGGAACAGATGCAAACCAAGAACTGAACCTAGTGCCTTTGGAAAAGGACTAACTTTAACTACAAGACCAAGCTTGTGAGACCACAGCTTTTCTGGAGAGTCAGTCTGACTTGCTGGACTATCCATCCCAGAAGATAGCCAGTTCATAAAGACATTAAGCAACCCTTGTGTCTGAGTGAGTGGATAAGCACTGAGATTGACTAACTAAACACCTGAAGTAATTATAAACAGTGTCCCACAGTAAACATTCCTAACTTCTTAGAAGTAGAATGCTCTAAGTTTTCATGAACAGCTATGTACTATAGCACAGATATAAATAAAAATATATAAAAAATATTGAGGAATGGAAAACAGCCCGTCAGTCTGTCAAAATGAGCCATCTCGTGGAGGATATAATGGGACAAGGACCCATTCACACATCTTAATCATTTAACCAATCTATGACTAAAATGCCTTGCAAGTGACCCACAGGTAGCTAATGTTTCCTCTTATAAACAGCTGATGAAATAGAGCTTTGAATTACCCATTCCTGACTGGGCAGCAATTACATGTATCATCTAACTGCAGAATGATACTATGTCCAAAGTTAGTTTAATGCTAAACTGATTATGTGCCATCAAGTTGGTATTAACTCTTAGCAACCACACAGATTTTCTCCAGAATGATCTGTCCCTAGCCTGGTCCTTCAGGTCTTCCAACAGTGAACCCTCAATTAGTCTACTGCAAACCATGGCACGATTTGCTCCTGTTGGAAATAGTGTGTGCCCTGCATTTATATTGGAAGCTGCTTCTCTCCAGCCATTTGTGGAAGGACTTAGAAGACATTAGGGTTGCTAAAACAGTATATTGGCTACCTAATCATTTCATGGTTAAGTATAACATGAACATACAAGCAAACCAAAAGTTCTATTTGCCTGCCAAAAACAAACCAGAAAGGTAACTTTCGTTAAATTCAAAATTTCAACTGTAGCTGGATATATGAATCCTGCTTCATTCTTCAAGTGTAATTCAAAAAATGAAATCTAAATAATTTGTTACACCAAGGCAGGGGGAAAAAATGATGGGGGGGAATGAGAGAGAAATGTGTAACAAATCAAGTAGAACATAGCCTACATAATAGCATACTCTTATTAAAATCAAATATATAAAGAGGTTATAAAACTACTTGGAAATAATTTTACTAATCCCAGATTAATTCTGTTTAAATCTGGTATCGTTCTGCCTCTCAGTAAGAAATAATCTGAATGCCCTCAGCTCCAGTTCAACAACTTTTGCAAAAGTAGATGAGAAAAAGGAGGAAATGGACTGTATGTTTTAAGCAGGCTTCATTATACATTCAACATTACTTTCAAATAACATTTTAAATGGAACTGATTTCTTGTAGAACAATGAATATCCAGCTTTTAAGGGGGTAAACTAATTTCCTAATACTACAGAAATCATCAGTCAAATGAAAAAAATCAAAAATCAAAATAATTTATAAATTTCATCATATACACAAAAGTTTAGTATAAGTGGACACAATGGAATTGCTTCTTGCTGTATGACAATTGAAATTTTCCAAAAATCAAAGATTAGATTAGGTTAAACTCCACAGAAAAAAACATTTATTTAGAAATAAACTTTGTCTCATGCAAAGACCAGTGAAAATTATAAAGCCAGTTTTAACAAAATATTTTTCTTTGATCATTCTCCACTATTTCCTAAAGGAAGACTATATGCTTTATCACTACTAAATGTTAAAGTCATTGTTGCACTACAATAAACATATCTAAATCTGTCATTTCAGAAGAATACATAGTCAAATATTATCTGTCTTACCCATCCACCTTGCTGGATGATATAATCTGCAACATAATCTTCAAGGTAGGTCACTCCAAAATTCAGAAGTGCACCAAGTGGTTCTTGGCCCTGTTTGGACAGCTCTACCAAGAACCGCTGAAGAATCACCAGGGGCACTAAAACCTAGAGAGAGAATAATGACCAGGAAATGCAGCACTCTGCCATAAATGACAGGATCTTCTACATTTAAAGCAACTTAATTTTGAAGCAAGTTAATACCATAACATTTTCATATCTGAAAGAATATTAGAATAATACTCAATAGTACACTGGTCAATTATGTTATTGTTCAGTAGGCTAATTTATCACATAATAAGTTTCTTTATTCATTATCAAGATTAAGTTTCAGGGGGTTTTGCTTTTACCTATCTCAGAACTTCTTCCAGACACTTGCTTTGAGTTTTGCAGGATTATTGGGTTGAAACTAGTCTCCCTAGGATTACTAAATGGAAAGAAGAGTATGGCTGCATCTGATTAAAATACTAGTGACACTTTAATCTAAACCTCTAGATGACTTCTCCAGCAGTTTCATGAAGAACAAAATGAAACGATATTCCCCAAAAGTTGCTTAATTTGTTTTCTTTCCTTAATACATTGAGGTGGAAGCTACAGCCAACTTACAGCTTCCAAATCAGAAAGTAATCCTATTATTACTTTGTTGATAGTAACTACAAGCCTTGCCTAAAAAAAACCCTACTGGAATCAAACAAGACTTTCCAGGACTGTAATTTTTAGCTTGTACTATTGATTTCTGTTCATCCTTCATATCATACTACTCCAACGTCTGACATATATGCATTAATATGCACTATAAACAAGACATATGAAATATGTAATGTACTTACTTAATAACAATGATTTTTCTCAACTAATTACTAGTGAATGGGAGTGGTCTCATAGAAGATGTTACTGAAAAGAAAGGAATGACTGCAGGCATCACTAGCCAGCCAAATTAAAAGGGACATTGATCATCTCTGCTAATGTCTGGTTTAATTTAACCATTTTTTTACCACTTGTCCCTCACACAGCCCTCAATTTTTGGCTGCTTTGCAGGCTTGGGTGGAATCTGAGCGCCTAGGCTAGTCTTGTTGTGTTTCTTATTCTTCCCCATTACTTCAGTGTCATCGTGTCATAGCTGAAGCTTCTATGGTGTTTTAGGAACTTGATATTCAGTTTTAGAGTATCTCTTGCAGAGAATGTGTTTATAAAATAAAGCTAGATAAAATTTAAAATGTATAGCTAAGCTATTTATAAAATAAATAAAACATATAAAATGTCATAAGGCGCTCAGCAGAGGAGCTGCTGCTCCATCGCCATCTTCTCCCACCCTCCTTCAATATGGCTTTTTTCACTTTTCCTTTCTTCCAGCTACATCTTCCCTTACTTCATCTCTAGCCATTTTCATTCCCCCTTTTCTCTTAATTTCTCTGTGTACCTACCCATTCTTCTTTCTACAGTCTATTTTTCTTTTTTTTTCTTTTTTTTTGCTGTTTCCACTGGAAGGATGGTGGAGAACTTGTGCATGGGTACGTTGTGTTTCTATATATGAGAATGATTGGTATGTGTCAAGACAATAGTTGGCAGAGACCAATATATTTCATAAATGATGTACCTTACTAACAAGCAATTAATTTTTATCATTTATTAATTTGACTTTTTGTTTGTTTTGTTCTGGCAGCGTGTTTTTCCTGCCGGATATATATACATATGTGCGTACGTGCACACGCACACATATATATGCACATACATTTGCAAATCTGTCACAAATTCATTTACTTGCAGAAAGTGGGGAATCCTCAGGATTGATTACAACTGAAATTGGCGACCCTATGTTGACCAGGTAGAAAAGGCATTGCATGGGAATTTTCTTGTATTTATATACTCTGTGTGTGTGTTGTGTGTATTTATATATCTACATATATCTATATCTATATAGATATATACAGATATATCCCATTATTCCTTTTGAGGAGTATCTAAAAAAAACAACCCTGAATTCAGACAATTGGATATAATATGCTTCAGGTAATTCAATTTACACTAACTCAATATCCACTGGAAGGGAATTTAAAAAAATGAGCTGGTCAATACCTTGCTCCATCCACTAGCATGACTTGCTACTTCCTGTGTCCTCTCTTTGTATTCCTGATAATTCACTGGCCTGAGTGAGAGAAACCAAAAGGGAAGATAATGAAGCTAAGGAAAGACAAAAATATAACTTATTTTTCATTATTTCTGCACATTACTAAACTGAGTAATCAAAAAGGCCAAAGCAAGTTCTTTAGCTTCAAGAAGTTGATCCAACCTATTAACAGCATTAAACCACACAACTGTTTATAAAAATTGTACAAACTTTGAAAAAGATTTTTTCTCATGAAACAAACAAAAACATAAGACTTTGTTAACCACAATTTTGCCATGACTGATGTCTGGAGCAGGTGTCAGCTGCCCTCCACTCATAAGCACACACTATCAGAAAAATTAAAATATTTATAATTTGTATCCCACCATTCCAATACAGAATTCAGGTTTGTTTTTAACTTCATAAACCCTTCTATGAAATAAGGCTAAGGTGTAATGACTTCCTAATGAAAGTTAAATAGTTCACAGGTGTCCTTTCACACTCCTTAGGAAACATTTGGAAGATTCAAATTCTGTTTTTAATATATGGTTTCTTATGTAACCTAGATTAAATTAGCTATATTTAAAATCCATTATGATTAATATTCACTCTGGTTAACTAAAAATCAGCTTCAAATTGTGTATTCTGAAGCTGGCTTATTTACTTTCATCAGAGGAGTTGTTATCCAAATGTTTCTGGTTTGTATGATAAACCACATATATTAATACAGTTTAATAATAGAGGCAAACCATTTTAAACTCTTACAACCATATACAGGTAGTTCTTGACTTACGACCATTTGTTCAGCGACCGTTCAAAGTTATGGTGATGCTGAATGAAGGGATTTATGACCCGTGCCTGAAGTTACAGCCGTTGCAGCACCCCCGCAGTCATGTGATCAAAATTTGGGTGTTTGGCAGCCCGCCCGGACTTATGACCACAGGGGTACTTCAATTCCCCCCACTTGCCTATCTCCCCCCATCTATGCCTTTTTGGCCCCCTGATGCCCTGCACTACACCGCTCCCACTGACCTTCGCCGCCTTCTTGCTCCTGCTGACGAGGCATTCCCAGCCTGGCTGCTGGGCCAGGGTGGGACTGGGCTTCGTGCTGGGGGAAAAAAAAAAGCAGAAAGTAGCCCAGAGCCACATTGCAGCACGAAACCCAGCCCCACCACACCGAGGGGCACAGCACAAAGGGGTTTTTTGGTGCACTGCGGCTCAGGGGCCATTTTCTGCTTTTTTTCCCCCTTAGTATGGAGTGTAGCCTCACCCTGCCCAAGAGCACAGCACAAAGGAGCTGGCTTTGCCCTCGCCACCCTGCACTCTGAGACCCCTGCCACCCTGCACTCTGCTGCTCTAGCTGACCTTTGCCATCTTCTTGTTCCCACTGCTACTGAGATATGCCCAGCTGGGTCGAGTTGGGGCTGGACTTTGCACTGAAGAAAAAAAAAAAAAAGCAGGCGGCCTGGTTGCTGGGTTGAGTTGGGGGTGGGGTTTGCACCGGGGGAAGAAAAAAAAAAAAAAGCAGGCGGCCTGGTTGCTGGGTTGAGTTGGGGGTGGGGTTTGCACCGGGGG